TGACATGTCACCCTCCTTTCTCCACATCAAACGCGTGTGGTGGTTTATTTTGTGGAGGACAGTACCAGTAGAGCTAATACATCGGGAGTTTATGCGTCACAGGGTGTAATATGAATACAATTAATATAAGATTGGGCGTTCATATTGTACCTAAAAAAAATATTACGTGATGCTGTACATTCGACATAAAAATGCGAGACGATTTCTGGACTCGTACCGCCTGCTATTATTGAGGACATTTATTTTGCAAACAACTCGACAGGAGCCTAGGCGTGTTTTTCAACGATATTAACAACATTAGATCTTCTTGTCTTCGTGACTCGTGAACTTTCGTGCCAACACGTGTGAAAACGCGAAAACAACCAGAATGAACAATCCCTTTGGGTTGTGTTTTTTTCCTCCTTGACTCCCCGCAAAGAACCATAACGAACGGCTTTTCATTACGTCGTCTCCTGACCACGCACCGTCTCTTGTACGAATACAACCAGCAACGATTAACCATCGAAGCGCGTAACTTGTCCGCAGACTCGGCGTGGAAAAACAAAAATAGAAAAGAAGAAATTCGCACGCTCGTAAACCGATTGCGTTGTTCTTTATTTTCGTGCCTCCTTTTACGAGCGCGCGTGGCATTTCGAATTTCGCGCCTCCATATATTTTTTTCGAATTCAATTTCAGGCGCACAATGGCGGGCATTTATTAAACCGAGGGCGGCCGAGGCTTGCCCCCCTCATCGTGACTCCTGCTGTTCTGCGTGTATTTGCCCGCCAAGCGAAACCCCGGATTCAATGCTTTCGCTGCTGAATAGAGCATCTTTTTTACCGCTCGCGTGGCTCCTGCGGTTCGGCACGTCGTGACTGAAATTTCGGATGGAGCAAGTCGCATAGCCGCGCGTTCGTTTCACAGTGACATCGATGAGTTGACGGTGGATGATTTTTTTCATCTATCCTATGATGCAACAATACGATGCCTCGCGAACGTTGAGTTTTTTTTTTTTAGTTTTCAACAAAACTACCCTTTCGTATGTTGGAAAAAAACGTATATGTAAAAACAGGGTCATTGGTTACAATGTTTTTCGTTCATTCTAGCTTGTCAGTTTCAAGTGTCAAAACATTTCTTTTGTCTAAAAGTGGCTGTTTGTAAAATCGTAGCTTTAACGCGTAAGAAGCATTTTTTATAATTAAAAAAAAAAAAATCAAAGCGTAAATGACGCGACATGTTTTCTCTTCGAATACGAGCAAGTCACAGGCTGCTCGTGGATTCCTATCGAGCGGATACGAGAAAGAGGGAGAGGCAGTAAAATTCTCTGGCTGATCCGTTCGCAAACAAAAGCGGAAAATCCTCTTTGAACGCCGACCGTGAATTCAATCTTATATTTTTCTCCACCCCCTCGCTCCTTTGCCACTCTGTTCGTCTTTCGGATCTTCCTCTCCGTACCCACCCCAACGTCTCTTAGGAATATCAATTTCGTAATCCTATAAACTCTTGGAGAATAAAACTTGAGTATTTTAATCGGGAAAAAAAAAAAAAAAAAAATGGCAGCAATATGACACTCGTCTCTGGTCCCGCGAAGTAAACAAATATATCTCGCGAAAGGCGAGCAAACTTTGAGCATGGTATAACTCACCGGGAAATAATTAAAGAAAATAATACCTCAGTCGCAAGAAAGGGATGACGAAAGTTCCGCTCGCGCTTGAAATTCAATTAGAGCTTTCCGCCGATTCAGCCGAATTTCCGAGTGCCCCGCCTGCACCGATGACCAACTCTCGTCCGTGACAACAGCCCACTTTTACAAAAACTTCCCTCCCACCCCCCTTTCACTCCGGGAAAGGCTTGGGCTGCCTCGCGCGCTGTGCATAAAATTCCGTCGTCGCGGCCCAACTGTGACAACTCGATTAAGCCCCTCGAGCTAATTTCGATTGAAGCCAATGGACGCAATGTGCGAGTAGTGGTAGTGCACGCGCGCCAGAGCGAGAGGGAAAAAAATGTGGGTGCGGGAGATGGGTCGTTGGCCCCTTTGCACCCGGAGCTTTAGATGAGAGCGCAGTGGCTGACGTGGCAAACTAACGGGGAAGCTTCCCCCCCCCCTTCCTATTGAGAGCCGCCGAGCGTTTAACGGCTCATTACCATTATCGACAGGTTCTTAGCAACTTCCATCCATTCGTCCCTCACTCCTCGCCCTCTTCCGGCATTGTTCGCTGCGGTGTACAGGACCGCGCCCCGGCCTATTTTAATTTTTAATTTTTCCTCTTTTGACGCTGCACCTGAATAATTATAACTTTGTCGGAATAGCTTCGAAGGAGACGAGCATGAGGTACCGCTTTCTTCCCTCATCCTTGTTTTCAGACAAAGTTTTGCAGATAAAGCGATGTCGATTGCCTGTAAATTCGGACCCTGTAACGGAGAATGCACAGCTGTTTTCAAATTAAAAATGAAATGCCATGTAGAGAGTAAGACCCCAGGGGTCAAGAGTTGCTCTCAAAATTTAATTAAGGGATGATTTTTGAGTATTTAAAACAAGATAGTATAAAATGAAAGAAGCTTATTGCAGGAAAAAGTCTTTCGGCAAAAAACCTGATTTATTACGTCAAAGGGTTGTACATTAGTAAATCATGGATGAGAATAACAAAATATACTCAAGTAAATTATTATTTGTGTAAGTTTGTGGTGTTTAAAATAATAATTGTACCTTGTCAGGAACTATGGTTGCGATGAATCTGTCGCTTAGATTCATTTAACGTGAACAAGATTGCGAGCAAGGAGCTCGGCTTTTTCGGGTCTGCAGGCAGGACCGCTTTTTTCGTTGCCACGAAATATCGTTAATGCCTCGCTGGGAGACGATGTTTGGTCACGATTGACGCAAGCTTGTAGTAGATCTCAATTTTCTTTTTCAGGGTTAAACACGAAGGTTAAAGCGACGTGCGATCAGAGAGAGAGTTTCGTGAGAAGTGAAGTTGTGTGCGCAAAAAGACGGAGATTTTTTCATATATTCCGACCGTCTTTTCTTTACATTCTTTTGTCAATTTGCGCGCACGAATCTTACGACTTTTATCGAACACCGAAATTCGTATTTTTTAAAAGAATGAACTACACAACAAACCCATCGATTATTGCATACTGTTTTTATGACGAGTAGCACGGGTAAATGTGTTGTCAGGCGTATCTTAATTCCTTTATGAGAAAGTTTTAATAATAGCGTAGATCGGTTAATTAACCGTGAATTGAGATGCATGGATAAAAAGTAGTATTGGTAAACGTTTGGTCAGACGTAAACATTATTCCCTCCATTACTCGTGGTATTTCAAAATTACAAATAATGCCTACGTTTGTTGACTAGAAATTCAAACTTATTATTACTAATGCGGAGATCATTCGGTAAGTAGTAAGAGCAAACGTGTGATCAGGCGTGGGTCCTTATTCCCCGTGCGAGGGGAACAGTATAGATCGATGGCCATTGGTTATAAATGCATATCCAGTAATAATTTTATTTGGTGCATGCAGCAATTGGTGCGAGTAAATGTGTGGTCAGGCGTAATATGCAAACAAGCATTGCTACCGTGAATCGTTGAGATGATGATCGAATCGCATGGATTCACGTTAAAATACGTAAATTAACGCATCAGGGAAGCATATCAATTTGAGTGAAATACGTAGGTATAACCACCAGCGAATGATAGAAATGAAAAAATCAACTATGCGCATACGTTACCAACAGCGTTATTGCAACGTTCGCGTTTAATCGGCTTCGTGAAAATTTCATGAATCGGCTTCGTGAATCCGCGGTAATTATGGATTTAGAGGAATCCACTAGAATTTTTGTGAACAACAAGGTCCCTTGTGATTATTAAACAGCATTCTCGAAATATTTCATGCTAAACTGAAATGCACAGTAGCGCAAAGTTTTCCTGATCCAAAACGCCCCGTCGGTCTCATCTCGTCGTGTCACGCGAACGTATCGATTTTCGTGGTATTTTAATTCCGTACCCAACGGAATGCATCAAAGTGCCACGCGCAAACGACACCGTTCTTCAAAGGCTCGAGTGACGCCGATGACAGTGACGCGTAACCACCCATGCATACAACGAGCCGGTATTGATAGTAATAGCATTAAAAACAATGATAATAACAATAATAGTATCCAGGTCCGCGTTAATCGGACACTATGCTCGCAAGCATCAAAGGCACAATGGATGTATACGTTCAACAGCCAGCGCTGTCCACGTTATTCGATGTATAATGAAGTCCGTAAGAGCGTCGTTGCCCTAGAGCCGATGGATAGGCCGGAACAGAAATACCTCGCTCCAACATCAATGGGAGATCTCGTGTGTGTATAGAGATAGGCGTGAGAGTCGATTGTACTCCTCGCTGGGTTGATGGCACTTTTCGCAGTGTCTAAATTGTTTCAACAAAGTGCTGGCTTTTGTACCTCGAACTGCCACTCTATGCGTGGAAAAGAGTAAATACCTAAATTCTTGTAACCTGCATATACGTATACATATATATAGGTGCAGGACATAGTTTTGTTCAAATTCCAAAACCGTCAAAGAAACGTGTACTTGTGTACTTTTGAGATGGCGAGCATTGGAGCTCGAAATTGGGATGAAAAAAATCCAAAGGGTAAAAGGCCAACAGCCACGATGGGTTTATCCAGCCCATACGACGTAAAAAAGCTCTTCAGAGGGGAAAGGAAAAAACAAAGCTTAGTCGCTTCTACTGTCACGGCAGCTACGTTGACGAAAAAAAAAAAAATCTCAAAAAATAGTAGAACGAATCAGAAGGACCCTTTGCTTGTTACCCAGTAATGTTGGCTAAATGATTTACAGTTGAGATATCTCTTTCAAAAATCCCAAAGATTTCCCAAACTCTTTTTTATTTCAGCTGAATGGAAAAGCTCTTTTGGCAAAAACAAAGATATAGAAAGAGTTGTCCCTATGAAATTGGATTTTTCGGACCAAATTTAAAAGTATCAATAGCAATGGAAATAAAAAATAAAAAGTACTCACCGTTTGCGGTGAAGCGAGATTCTGTATCCGACAGTTCAGGTAGACCTGGGTATTGAGCTGTACGGTTACATTATTGTCAGGATCCTCGAAGAAAGGCCTTGGCTCAGGAGTCGCGCCCGTTTCCGTGGCATAGCTCTCCTCCTCGTAGATCTGCAAGTACCGACATATAAAGTTGATATACTTTCAAGAACATCTGAACGGCGCATGACACGTACGACGATATATAAGTGTATACACCGTTTCGATATGCAGTCGAGTGAAGAGAATAAGAGATTTATTGCCTATGTAAGACAAAAATTTTATAGCTCTCCTGTACGTAGCTACCGACTGCGCTTGTATTTTTTATACACGAAAAACGATTCCAAATTTTACTATAACAGAATAAATCTCGTGAACGTATAGTGTATTAAAGTATTTACATCTTCGCGCATCAAAAAATTCGTGTGAATGTATGCACAAAGCGTTTCAGTATACGAATCTCCTTAAAGTGCCGATTGTTATCCGTAAGACCGGCCAAAGCTTTTCTCCCACAGAGCAAATCACCAGCCGCAATTTTCATTTCCCTGAAAATTCCCGAAAAACTCTCCCCCTTGGCTTTTCTAACTGACTTCGACTTCATTACATTGACGGTGGACAAAAAGACACCCTATGAGGGCACGATGTGCATTAAGAAAATAAATTGCCACCTTAAATCACTCACCTCGGTGAAAGGGGAGCTCAGCTCGTGCCAGAAAGACTTGGGCAGGTTTTCAAGCCCCGGGAACGGCTTGCCACCTGCAATGCAAGCAAAATTTTCCTTGAGAACAAATTTTCATCATCCACCACCAGCCACACCGTACCGTCCCTCCACCCGAGATCAAAACGGACTTTTTTTTCTCCCTTTGTCGTCACTCCGCTCCCCGACAGCTCGAGCTGAGTCTCAGTTGAACGTCCCGTACCCTATCCCGATGACATTTACGTATGTCGAGTTAATACTGTACTTATTCACGCGTTACGTATATACATATACATATAGAGGTGATGCATATACATACCGAGCTTAAAAGTGATGAATTGCCGCGATCGAATTGAATATAAAAGTGACGATCGATCTGCTCCACGACGTACACCCGACTCCGTATCAAGCGATGGACAATGGAATAATACGAGTAGTGTAGCTACGCGTATAGTCAGGCGATTGGAAAAGGCGTATCAAACGCTATAAGTTTACTTCCACCCGTGAACAAAATTAAATATATAAAAGTGATACACTGTTACAGTATGTATAGAGTAACGAACGACCAACAGTAAAACGATGCAAGTAGTGCGTACGCGAAAATAGTCGGCCAATTGGAAACGGTGTAATATTCATTAAGCAAAAGCATTGTGCCGTGCCAATTCATCAGGCAAACTCGTTACCAACCATTTTAACGACGACACCAGTAACAATAAAACACGTGCAATGAATGCGTATAGCTTTAAAATCACTCGGAACTCATGGTGCTCTCGATTCCCGGCAAAACAATATTCTCCCGCGAACTTTCGCGTATACGTATACACGCAATAGACAGACGGTTGCCCGAGTATTGCCCCTACATAGCTACTACTCGCCTTCGCGAAAGCATAACAGCCAAAGACGCTCTCGATCCGGCAAAGCCAGCGAGGCTCCTCCCGCTCTCGTCGCGCAATCGTCCTTATCAGCGAGCGGCACACTCGGCCGAACTGATGCACGCCGTTTTGAAAGGAGCCGCGTTACGTCGGCGTGTGTATGTATACATGTACGTCACTCGAGTGGTATTACTTCGATAAAGTTACGGGCCCCGGGGCACGGGCAATCGTAAACTCGAGCGCCGGCAGTGGAATTACAGTTTCGTGACAGCTAGCTGTACACGGCGAGAAGAAAGCCATTTCGGTTTTTTTTTTTTTTTCGTTGTCGCGCGCTCGTCGCGGGTTCTCGTGCTTTTGAAAAATGTGGCGGCAGCCACGAGCACAGTGATTTTTTTTTTTTCTCAGCTGCGGTAATGGAAAATATTTTTTACCACGCGTCGTTTTAATTTAAAAGCGCTGAGATAAGTTGATTTACAAGGGTGTAACATCCGAATGGATCCGGTTTTCGTGGGAAGAACAATTGGGTGGAGACGACGTCCCTACATTTCGCGCTTGAAAATTAACGAGCGACAGTCGACGTTTCACGTGTAAAAATGGCATAGTTGTCGCGTAAAATGTAAAGTTGTGCGATACGAGCAGATGGGAGGATTGAAATGTTCGGGTCGCGTGTGCTACATTTGGAACCTCGAGCGGGTCATCAATTGTGAGTCACGAGACCTTTCGAAAATTAAAATGGCCCGGTAGCCTTGCCAAAATTTTTTATCACGCCCCAATTGCGTGGTGATCAATTTCATTTTTTTATTATTTACTTTGGTTTCGTGTAAGAAGGAAAAAAAAAAAAAAAGGTTATCCTACGGTTCTACGTTTCGTACCAACCTGAGGTAATGACGGCTCTCGACAATCCTATAAAGTGCATCAAAAGAACGGCCAACGTGGCCGTAAGTCCTTTCAACGTCATATCCAGTCCTCAACTCATCTCCGACTGTAAAACCGTCCGCTTTTCTCGTCCAGCTTTATCCTAGAAAAACATGATAAAGCGTCCCCGGTAAATCAATCATTGCAATAATATTCACACATACATTGTATATTTTACATGTTTGTTTAAAAGTAAAAAATGTGAGCACTTTGTTCACGATGTAAAATCATCACGTTCAATTTATCAATAAAATCAGCCTCTCGAACGATCGCTACGTACACCAGTTGGCGTATTACAGAATAGTTGCGTGCACTCGCATACACCTATATACATATGTAAAAGAGAGACGGAGATCGAGATTACAAGCATCACAAGTTCTCTCTCTTGCTTTGAAGTAGTCCAGTGATTGCCGGTGAAAATTAGCCGTGGGAGTTATTGAACTGTTTGACGAGAGCCGCCTAATGATTCAAAGCAGTTGGCTGGAGCCAGCCAGACCAAACTACGGCTATCGCGTGCACGGCGGCGACGACGAATCCATATCACCCGCAGCCAGTTTAATTGCAAAATGTTCGGACCGCAACGGCGGAAGCTCTCTTGCGGTAGCTTTCCCTTTGTCACTCGGACACTGCGGAGCATAGTTTAGCCCAACAGTTATACAGCTACGCCACTCGCCGATAGGCTATCGTTATCTGGGTCGGCGAAGGGTTGAAGCGAAAGGTGTACTTTCGCGAGTGCCCGCTTGTGGATAATTGCATTATTCGGCCGGCATTGTCATTCCTTCGTTCACGTCGGCATGGGCTTGAACGTGGAGGGTATTATACGTACGAACCAGAGGTGACTTTAAGTGCACCAGTTCGCCCTTATAAAAGTTTATAAACTAATAAATATAGACAAACGGCTTTGAAGCGTGGGCTGACGAGTCCCTTGAAAACTTTTGGGAAGCAAAAGTCAGAGGTGGACGCGAGTATACACGAATCGCAAAAAAGTGTCGGCAATAACAGCTGCAGCAAGTCGGGGGGGGAGCTTTGGTTCCGAGCGGCCGATCCTTTGAAAGATGGCACGAGAGTGAGATTAGAGTCAAAGTTTGTTCCAATATGAGCGCAGGTCGTTTTGTAAGTCTCCCTGATTCGATTTTCCCGGAAACTTGATGCGTCAAAGGCTGCAGGGCCAACTTGGATACTTTGTGTACTCTTACGTGCTGTGTAACGAACACAGGTGGTGTTTGAGTAACTGTTATTTTATGTACATATAAATTGGGGCACGAAGCACGGTACAAGGAAAAAAAAAAAAACAACAAAAAATGGCACCGACGTTTAATAGACTATAATGGCATCGGTAAGTATCGATTGATAATTGTGCGAACGTATTTTCGCAAGTAAATGTACGTTCGGCCATCCCTGGCCAGTGCACTGTATATCGAGCTGCTGAAACCGGACGAGAGTAGAGGCTCGTCGCGTCGACGGCTACGAAAGATTAATAACTTTCCCTCGCCCCTGTACACTCTGTGCTGAAACTTCTTACATTACGGGGGTGGTGAGAATTTCCTCGCCAGTCCGTCACGTCTCGCTCCCACGCGGCAACAGTGACGCGTATAAAGCCAAGAGAACGGGGAAGAGAGGAAGAGCTAAAGAGCCAAGAAAACGCCGGCGTTTATCTCTCGTCCATCGCGTGCGTGCTATGTGTGTGTGTGTGTGCAGCTACGGGGCAAAAGTTTCGAATTATTTCGCTTGTCTTCCGCAGATGCTACAGTAACCCTCTGCACGTGGGTACACGTGGAGTTTCCATCCTAACGTTTACTTCATTGGTTGTCTAATACTCGGCTCTGGCACGCGCTCTCGCTCTTTATTCTTGCACCCCTCCCCCCTTTTGTTCTCCGATATTTTTTCCCTCCCGTAGGGCTCCGTTTGGATAACAAGTTTGAGATTGATTGGACCGACGCTGTCTCTCTGCTCAATTAAAGCTTGACTGGACACCGCTTATCTAGATTCCGTAAAGAAAGGAAGCTTTGCTGGTTATTTGCGTCATCGAACAAACTCCAGCTCCGAATCGCAAGTTTACGTATAGCCGATACCGATATCCCACGCTTTTTTAATATTAATTTTCCGAGATTTTATCGTTTAGCGTCCAACGCAAGAACGACCAGAAGCTGCCATCCAAACGTGATGATCGGGAGGATCGGCTATCCGAGGAGTATCGCGATGTATGGCTATAGAGGCGCCGATCGGTGTTTCGTCCGAATGATGATGAAAAACGTATCGGTGCCCACTACGGCAGCAAAGGAAGAACAAATTGAAAAGTGGACGGATGGATTAAACGAGTAGAGAGAAGGAAAAAAAAAAAAAAAAAGAAAATCGGCGAAAAAAGCGGTGAAACGTCGATCGGATCGCTTCCAATTACGGTGGAAATCCGCTTTGGCAGTGGCGGCTACGCCGTGCACTGCTCGTTCGCGTTAAGCTCGTGACGAGCGCAGATTGACAGCAGCTCGCCGGGGCTGGGGGAAAAAGAAAGGAGCGGAGGAACCGTTACCCCGCGCCAGAGGGAACAAACACAAAACGCGAAAATCAATGTGTTTCAGCGCAAAGCGGTTGTTTCGGGGATACGAGTGGAAATGAGACTGTACGGCCTTAATTTCCAAAGTAAATCGCTAACGATGACCGACGGACAATGCTGAAAATAAACTTGAGCACCTAATAAGCGAAGGAGGGTTTCCGCAACAATTGCAGCATCTTCGCGCGTCGCTGTCGAGAACGAAAAGGGAAAAAGAAAAGAAGAAAGCAACTCTCCCCCCCTAATGCACAGCATCAGCTCTACATACGTTTCCACCCCATTCCTACCCTTCGCCCCCATACCCCGAAAAGCAGGAAGGAAACAAGGTCAAAGTTTTTTCACTTTCTCAGTGCAATTGAATCGGGGAGGGGGGGTGGGGACTACTGTACATGGGGTCGGTACTTCTCGTGCCATCAAAACTTTAAATAAAAATGCATCCACTTTCCTCCCCGGAGGTGTAGGTGCGAGCGTACTGTAGCTCCTTCTCCTGCGACATCTCGTCCTGGATGCTTTCGCGCGTAGAGCTGGCATCGCGGGGCGAAGGAAAATATAAAACGAAACGAGCCGGCATAGGGGGGGGTGAGAAATTTTGGGTAAACGTCGGGCGAGAATCCACTTATCGCGCCCAAAGTGACGCAGCGGGGGGTGTCTATTGTGCGCGCGTACGTATAGGCAAAAGGAGTCCCTCCCCCCCCCTGGGTCGAGTGGTGTGCAAGTGAAAGGCGACGACCGAGAGGAGAGGGTGTAGGTGTCGGAGCAGCCCGGGAAATCAAGTCGATGCTGCACCCGGGGCGGCCGATTGCATTCCTTCCGAGGAGCTCTCCCCGATGCTCCGTGAATGCGAACTTTGGAAATGCACCCCCTATACGTTGCCGCTGTGATCCGGGGCTTCGAGCAAAATTCAATTCCAAAGAGATAATTACAGCTCTGATTATCTGTATACTTGGGTATGGGCGCGTACCCTGGAGCATCATAGATCAAGACCATTGCTCCGACGACGATTCAAGGTGCAGAGGAAAAAAAGATTTTTCTTGTAATACTCGCCTATTATCTGGAATGTTTCTTATTACAAGTTCTTATATAAATAAGCTGTAGTTTTATATTTTGTTGCCATACGGTCTCAGGACCATGGTATAAATAAACATAACAGTTTCTACTAATCTAATCACTCCTTGAGATTTAAAAATAAGCCCTACAAGAATGTACAACGTGTGTGTATGTGTGTTGGTACGGGCACGCACGTTGATTTATCGTGTAGTCGTCGTATTAGGCACTATTTCGCACTTTAAAAGTAAATTAACATCCTCATTGAGAGATAAGAGTCGAGGTAGTAATTAGCTTTGTGTTTCTGTGTTAATTGGTGCAGTGTACGCGACCTGGCAACGCGTATGTGTATGTACGTTTTTTTTTTTTTTTTTTTTTTTTTTTTGTTTCCAAGCTACGATGTTACCTTTAAGTCGATGTAAAAAACGTTATGATGTACCAAATAGTTATAATGCCGTTGCACCAGTATACACCGCATGGTATACTAAAACAAAAAATTTTATTGTGAATGCCACTATCGTTACTCTTTGCACAAAATGGACAGCTGTATCGATCTCCCATTCTCAGTTTGCACTCGTCACAGTATAATATATAAAAGTACAATGGTGACGCGGATGAAAATTGATAGCCGGATGAAAGCCATTAAGAGAAAAGTTTTGATGTGTACGAGGCTACAAATGAACGTTGGAAAAATGTTGCTTCACGATCCTGATGGCTGTATTTCTCGAAGTAAATGAGGGAAAAACAACAGCAGGAGCAAAAAAAAAAAAAAAAGGCAAAGCTGACTGCAGCGGTACAAGAGGTCAGGGCAAGGAAAACGGGAGGACGACGAGTTGCTTGTTTTCCCTTTGTCAGGAAGAACAAGGCAGGCCTTCGATACTCGTTAATCCGCCCTAAAAAAGGTCCAGGAAATAGACAGAGAGAGAGAGAGAAGGGGAGGAAGAGAAACGACACTTTTTCTGAATACACTTCGATCTCCTCGAACCACTCCCCCCCCCCTAACTCTTCGTGTACGTGTGCAGTATAACGTAGTAGACGGTGTCAGCGCAAACTCTAAAAGGACTTTATCCTTGTTTAGTGCCATGAATCTCGATTATTTTCAGGATTTTTCCTTTTACATAGACATGTGGCAAAACAATGAAACTTTGGATCAAGTCTGTCGTCAACGAAAAGCACATAGATTTTCACTCGAGAATCTTTATTTCCATGATCCGCTAAATGTAAGCGTATCACAATTTAATTGTGTTCACATGGTGTTGAAATGGATAAAAAAGTGTTGAACACGATTGTAAATTAAAATGATCATGTATTGCGATTCGTGGTGCTCAAACTAGTGATTTTAGATTTTATTTAAGTACGGATTTCAAGTTGGTATATTGTTTGATAAGCTTTTTTTACGAATATCATACATCGCATCACTTTTATCTCGTATACGAACTAATGCCACAATGACTTTGAATTTGGTATCTACAACAAGGAATTGTCGATACGTGCCGGAGCGTATTTACAGA